GAAGCACCGTTATTTGCAATGCTATTTGTTAATGAGAGAGTCCCGTGTTTATTAAGCTCTATCACTGCACCCACCACCAGTGTTTCAGAATCCCCCTCCAAGGTTCCAAGGTCCCAAGGTCCCTTCCATTCACTTCCTCCAGACCTCTTTGTAAACCCAGCCCTAGAGACTGACTCTCAGGGCCTGTCAGAGAGAGGGGGACAAATACAGAATGATTTCTCTCATATGTGGAACATAAAGAAACAGTTTCTTGATAACAAATAACACATAGGCAAAGGCAATAGAACCTGAGAATCCACCATTTCCTTCAATGACCACTTGTGGGGCTTACTCTGAGCCCTTAATCACCACTCTCAGCCTCTCCTCTGGGCCCTGAGCCCTCTCGTCATCGCCACCTGAACACTCCAGAGGCACTTCAAAATTGGCTTGCTCAAAATGGAGGCAACTACCTCAGGGTTAAAAATTTTAAAAACCAGGCCAGAGAAATTTTTAAAAATTAAAAAAAAAATTTTTTAAACCAGGCCACAGAACACAAGGCACTTGCCTTGCACATGGCTGACCTGGACTCAATCCCCAACCATGGCCAGAATGATCTCTGATCAGTTAGGCGTACCACCTCCTCCCTCCCAGCCCTAAGTACAGAATTGCCACACGCTGACAAGAGCAGATCTTTCTGCTCTTTCTCAGAGTGATAATTTTTTCACTTGAATATGCATGTTTTATAGTGCAACTTGAAGTATTAAAACAACCCTTACTACCATATTCTACATGGAAAGATTTTTCCCAACTAGACAAATGCTCCATTTTTGGTTTGCTTGATGAGGGGTGGAGGGAACGACACCTGGGAGTGCTCAGGGGTCAATTGTCTGCAATGCTGGGGTTGAACCTAAGCCTCCTGCACGCTAGGCATGAGCTCAGCCTTGGAGCTCCTTGGCCCCCAGATCTTCATTATTGTTCAAAATGGGAGGCACTGCACCCCACAAATGTTCACGTTTTGCAGCCTGAAGCATTTTAAGTGACTGTCAGTCCCTGCCCACCTTCTGCTTGTAACTGTTGCTGTAAGGACACCCTCTCAGACTGGGGCACTTGCACACAGGCTTCGCCTCGGGCCTGCTCTCAGTTGAGAGACAAGTTACAGTCACAGTACTCCAAAGGGCAAGGGCTGGAGAATGCTCTCACGCAGACTAGCAGGAGTCACACTTCCCAGCAGTGGTGCCTCACATCTATCTTGCCCTGGCAGTCAACTATGACGAGGTGGTAGGCAGCGGAGGGGTAAAACCCTTTTAGTTTTGGTTTCTACAGGCACCTGGCTGTGGGAGGGCTGCAAGCCGAAGCACTGGGGATCATGGACAGTAGAAGCACCAGCCTCAGAGAGCAGAGTAATTTGGGGCCAAGGTAACATAAGAGCAGACAGGGAGATTGCCTTGCAGGCAGCCAACCCAGGTTCAATCCCCGGCACTCCATACTGTGCCCCGAGTACCACCAGGAGTAATTCCCTGAGTGCAGAGGCGGAACAATCCCTAAGCACTGTCAGGTGGGGCCGGAAAGCAAAATTCAACATCAAATAGTAAAGTCACCAGGATTGAGAGCCACATCTGTAGGACAGAGGAAGTTGAATTGGTGACAAGGCAGGTGTTCTAAGCCACTGCACTGTTCCTCCAGAATCTGTTTTCCAGTGGTTCAAACTGATCCTAATGTGACTGCAATAATCTCTGTTCAGTTTTGGTTTCAGTTGGGAAAGGGGCAACTTGTGGCATTTAGGGGCAACTCCAGTGGTTGTGCTGGGGTGGGGCTTTTCTCCCAGCTGTGCCAGGGATCCTGAAGCCAAGTACGCATTCAGCCTGGTGAGCTTTCTGCCTGGCCCTGCAATTTCCTTTTCCTAGCTTATTCTAGGAACTGTCTCTGTTAGCTCAACTATTCATCTATATAATATCAGACTACGACATGTTCCTAAACATACCTATAAATTCACATACTATTCTTGGTTTTTATCCATACCTTCTATTCCATCCCTCAATTCAGAAAATTCCTATTCAACTTTCAAAGTGAACTTGAAATATGCTCTCTTCACTCTGACCCTTTTCCCCACCAGAGAATTTTTCTCCTTATCAACGTTCCCCATTAAACTTTTTTTTTTTGGTGGGGGGAAGGGCACACCCAGTGGTGCTCAGGGCTTACCCCTGGCTCTGTGCTCAAGGATCACTCCTGGTGGTGCTTGGGGGACCATATGGGGTGCCAGGATTGCCCACCTGCTGTAGTATCTTTCCAGCCCCCTAATCTCTATTATAACATCAGACTGAAGTTGTTAGGAGCTTATAACATGTCTGGTCAAAAGTTTATCAAAATCAGGAAAGCATTTTCCTTTCTTGAATCTAATGTTTCTTTCCCTCCTTCCTTTCCTCCCTCCTTTTATTTTTATTTTTTTTTTTTGAGGTGGGAGGAGGCCACACCTGGCAGTCTCAGGGTTTACTCCTGGCTTTGCTCTCAGGAATCACTCCAGATGGACCTGAGGGAACATACGGGATTCTGTATGCTGCTCTGGCCCCTCTATTCTTCTGAGAATTGATATTAAACTTATTTAAAATTATCAAACTTTTATGTCATTAAGATAATGCCATAGGGAACTAGAGCGATAGTACAGTAGGTAAGGTGCTTGCCTTGCATGTGGCCAACCTGGGTTCGATCCCCAGCATACCACAGGGTCCCCTAAGCACTGCCAGAAGTGATTCTTGAGAGCACAGCCAGGAGTAACCCCTGAGCATTGCCGAGTGTGCCACACCACACATACCCCCAACCCCTGAACCCAAATGCCATATTTGTAGTGAAAGTTTAAAACCAAAAGAATCCCATGTCATTTAATAGGCAAAAAATGCTCTTACATACAAAGTATAATTAAACTGATGCGCGGACATGCCTTCATCTACATCTTGCAATACCAGTTTCTCTCCTTTCTCTATTCTCATCTCCCCCACGCCCCCTTAATGAAGAAGTTCTTTACAGAACGCTAAGGCAGAGATTAAGATCAGACTTTTTAGAGTCCAAGTCTCTGGTTTGAATCCTACTTCTGCTATCTAGACTATTAGATATGACTCAGCCTGTCAGTGTCTCTCAATAGGGCAATCACAGTAACAGCCCACGTGGCATATTGGATTGTAAGGATTAAATAAGGGAATGCATGCAAAGAATTTAAAAGTGTCCTCACTCTGCATAGGTCCCAATAAACGCTAGTTGATGTTATCAATTTTAAACAAATACAGCTTTCTCAGCACTTTTTTTTCAGTCCACATAATAGATTTTTATCTCCTAAATAATGAGATTTACATATGCCCACATATTTTATAATGTCAGTGTGAAACCATGTGTTGGAGTTTAAGAGGTCTCAATAACGAGAATCTGGGGTTTCCGACCTTCAAGACGAATAAATCACAAATGTACTACATAGATTCAATTGGTGTTTTAAGATAGTTTCAAAACATCTACTTTCCACTGAAATGCTGAAACATGTCTAAGTAAAACCTATAAAGCAACATGAAAAGTATACTCACTAGTTCTTTCTCTAATTGATCTGGGCATCTAATGGTCTAAAATCCTTATCTAGAAGACAAACTGAAAACCAATTCAAATATAATTTCCAAACTTAGAAACTGCCTATCATCACATCAGAAAACAATATTATTCTGCACTTAGGGCTGGAGAAATAATAAAGTGGGTAGGGCTCTTGCCTTGTACATGACAGACCCAAGTTCGATCCCTGGTTACCCATGCACTGCCAGGAGTAACTCCTGAGCATGTCCAGGTATGGGCCCTCCCCCAAATAAACCAAAAATAAACAAATAAATCTACACTTAATAATTCTATTGTCATGGGGAAGAGGTAGACGGAGGGCTAGAATGCATGCATGCAGTGGGCCCCGCACGATCTCCCAGCACTGTCAGATGTAGCCTGGTGCCCTGGTGGTCCCAACAGACCACATCAGCAGGACACAGCACTGACCCATCAGACTTTCACTGCTGAGTACCCTGGGGTGACCTCGACCCTCTCCGGAGCACAGGAAACCCCCCCACCCCACCCCACCCTTACCGCATTCACCAACAAGAATGAAAGGCCAAGACACGCAATTACTACATTCCCTGGTTTCTGCCAGGGGAACACGCCTAAGGCATCCCCAGGACAAGTCAGCTACAAACTGTTATTCCCTTTCTCACTTCCGGCCCGTTCCTACTCTCTCAGCCCCTAACACACTCGTAGGAAAAATACAAATGTCTATAATAAAACCTAAGTCCCCAAAAGAATCCCATATTGGAAGAACGCAAATGTCTGTAATAAAAACCGATGTCCCAAATACAATCCTATATTGGTTTTGGATTGTATTTGGGGACATAAATCTTCCTGTCAGCAGTCTCTCAATTTACAAAGCAAATAAATAATTCTCGATTTGAAGCAGTCATCTTACTTGTACTTTACCAGGTAATGTAAAGTATTTACTCAGAGCAAAGTAGATAATCTGATTGCTACCCAACAGCCAAGGACTCAGAAGCACACCTGCTTTTTGGGGTGGGGGTGGCGATCCGCGATCAGTTAACAGGGGAACACTCTAAAACAACAGTGATTCTGTGAGCAAAGAGCTTCACACTTTGCACAGTCAAGAGATTCGGGCCTTATCTGAGAGGCGAGGTGAGCTGCTAGCCCGTCGGGAAGGCACTCGGCACGGCGCACGCCCCTACGCGCACAGATCCTCCCGGGCCCCCGCCCGTCCCAGCACGCGCCCCGGCCGGCCGGACCCGCGGGCAGACAGGCCCCTGCCGCGGTCCCCGCCCGGTCCGTGGGCGCCAGGACGCGCGCCCCTGACTCACCTCGCCACTCCGCCGGGCGCTGATCGGGGCGCTCCGGGCCGGCTCCGGCAGGGGTGTCAGTGAGCGCACGGAGCCGACGCGCGGACGCACCCACGGGCAAACGCGCCCCCGCGGCCGAGCCCCGGCCCGCCCGCAGCCCGCGCCTACCTCGCCCGGCCCCGCCGCCGCCGCCCGGCAGCCGGCCTGCGCCGCGATCGTCGTCCCGGCCCGGCTCCTGCACTCGGCCGCCGTCGGCCCGGCGCCGCCGCCCCCGCCGCCTGCGAGGCCCCTCCCCGCCCCCCACGCCCCGCCCCCCCGTCCGAAGACGCTTCTTATTAGTCCCAAGGCTCACACCTCGCCCTCGGGCCCGCCCCCGCCGCCCCGCAAGACCCCGCCCCGCCCGCCCGAGGCCCCGCCTCGCCCGCCCGCGCCCGCTTCTTATTGGCTCCTGTGCCCCCCAGCCTTCGGGCCCGCCCCGGCATCGGGGGCGGAGCGAACGAGAGGCAGCTTCCTGGCCGGAGACCCGCTTGCTCCCCGCCGGGGCCCTCGAAGGCAGGCGACACGCGTTGCGGCCGTGAGGCCCGGGTTCCTAGCCAGAGGACGCCCCGGCGGCAGGCTAGTCTTGGCGGTGCCGGCGGGCTTCAGCGGTCTCCGGTTCCCGGAGCGCGCTTGCAGCCCAGTGCACTGAGGGTAGACGCGGCGTGAATAACGCGGCGAGCAGCCCAGCTTGCCATCCCAGCACACCCCTGCTTTGATACTCACCGTGCTTGAGGTCGGCCCCACGCCCTGTGTGACACATGCATGAACACCTCGCCCGCGACGCTCTCACCCTCGGTATGTGCGCAGGGCGCCGTGCCCACGCCGCCGGCAGCCCAGTTTCACTCCAGGTTGCGAGTCAAGCAGGAGTTGAGCTGGTTTCCCAGGAACTTGCTAAACACCGCACCCTTCCTCGTCCCGCCCTATCCCACCCCACCCGACTTCACCCCACCCCACCGGGGCTTCTTGGGCCTGGTGAACAAACTCCTCAAATCTGTTCACATAGTGTACAGAAGACAGCCAGAAAGAGAGGGATTTGGTTACACATCCCATATGCTCGGCACAGCCAACTTCGCCAAAGCAATAAAAGCTGCATCTCCCAAACTGTTGTGAATGCATGACGGTAGAGTAGGGAATTGTGTTCTGTGGTGCAAAAAAGCTAATAAGAAATTGGAACTCTATAAAAACAAATGTGAACATTGCTTGTAGTGATCTTTATGGATTACCCCGCCTCATCTTTATTTAATAGGAAATGGTCCAAACAGCAGTCTCAGATGAAATTTAGTAGAGAAATAGTGTGAGCTTGGCAGTTATTTTGAAATTCAACAGGAGCATTTCAAAGTTCAAATTTGGGAGCTCAGGGGCTGGAGCTATAGTACAGCAGGTGAGGCATTTACACGGCTGGAGCTCAATCTCCGGCATCTCATATGGTCCCCTGTGCACTGCTAGGAGTGTTTCCTGAATGCAGAGCCAGGACGCGGCGAGCAGCCCCTGAGCATCACCAAGGGTGGCTCTCCAAGAAAGCCAAAACGAAAAAGTTCAGAGCTCAGTGCACTGAGCTTTGTATGCAAGAGGGGAACCTATCCCTATCCCTTTTTACCCCCACATCTGGGTATCTACATGGTCCTCAGAGCACAGCTAACAGTGACCCCCAAGTTCCCAGCTGGGAGTAGTCCTGGAGCGCTGAGCACCATGGTATGTGGCAATACACAGGCACACACACACACTCTCTCTCTCTCCAAACTTTGCTTAAGGGAGATTACTTGGCAAGGTGAGACCAGCTGAATTGCAAGTGCCCAACGTGAAACAAAATCCGGCACAGGGTATAATCAGTGAATCAGCATGTGTTCTACTGCCCTCTCATGGGTTAGACGGATATACACAAAATGGGAGTATTGCCCTTTTAGTCTAAAAATAAAATGTTTTAGCTAGCAACTATATTTTTAAAATAATGAGTCCAAAGCAAAATCAAGTATTCTGTAAGGCAGTGGTTTTCTGTTTTTTCACTGCACTATTCTAGCGATTCCTAATGCATCAGCAAACAGAACTTTGGTAATAAGCTACAGATTCTGACTCTATGACTAGTACGAACATGTTGGGGTCACACCCATCCTTACAGCTACCTACAGTACCTGCAAGATTATTTTTTCTTCTATTTGAAATTCCATCACGGGGCTGGAGCACTTGCACAGCGGGTAGGGCGTTTGCCTTGCACATGGCCAACCCGGGTTTGATTCCCAGCATCCCATATGGTTCCCTGAGCACCGCCAGGAGTGATTCCTGAGTTCATGAGCCAGGAATAACCCCTGAGTATCGCTTGGTGTGACCCCAAAAAGCAAAAAAAAAAAAAAAAAAAAAAGAAGAAGAAAAAGAAAAAGAAAGAAATTCCATCGTTTTGTAAGATGATTTACAAATTATTTTTCACATTTGCATCCACATATATTGTAATTTCACTCTGTAAACAACCTGAGTGGAATCTTAATCTTTATTCCTCCATCCATGCCTTTAACAGAACATACGTATTACCATAGTATTTAATAGGTTAAATGTAATATCAGCCCAGCCACTAGATGGCACAATTGTTTATATATAAATATATAATCTGATAGACTAGTATTCCTCCAAAATTTGACTGAAGAAGTCACATTTCTAAAAAGTTGTATGTAAGGGCTGGAGTAATAGTACAGCAGGTAAGGTGCCTGTTTTGCATGTGGCAGACCTGGGTTTTATTCCCGGTATCCCATAGAATCCCATGGGCACCACTAGGAGTGATTCCTGAATGCAGTCAGGACTAACCCCTAAGCATCACCAGTTACGGCCCCAAAACCAAAATAAATAAATTTTAAAGAAGTTAAAAGTTGTATGTGTGTCTTATTTTCGTAAGTGAAATCATTTATTGTCAAGAATACCCTTAAATCTAAGAGTCATTTTGTAAAATATATTTGAGTAAAGTAAATCATATATACAGATTTTCTTTAGTATACCTGTTTTGGTTTTGTTTAATAAAACCCCCGACTAGGGGCCAGAGAGTACAGCAGGTAGGGAACTTGCATTTCATGTGGTTTAGCCGGGTTCATTCCCCAACACCCCACATGGTCCCTGAACACCACCAGGGATGATCCCTGAACACAGAACCAGGAATAAACCTTGAGTACTTCCCCCCCCCCAAAAAAAAAGAAAAAAGCACCTCATCAGTTGTATCTTATTGAAAAGACTTTTTCAGTGGCCTGACTGCAGACTCATTTTACCATCCATTTTATATTCTCTCAACAAATCTTTTTCATATTTATGCATATGTACATGCATTCCTCTATATTTCTGTTATTATTGTTGTTGTTTGGGCTGTACCTAATAGCGCTTAGTTCTGGCTCCATACTCAGGGATCACTCCTGTCAGAGCTTGAGGGATCATATGTGGTGCAAACAATCAGAATCAACAGCTGGGGAACATAACAAAATAGGACACTAACACCCAAGAATAACTGAAATAAGTGCTAGGAGGTTTACTCCATGGCTTGGAGGCCAGCTGCACATGCTAGGGGAAAAGGCAGCTCAGACGGAGAAGGGAGCACCAAATAAAGGGTGTTGGGAGGATCCTCCCAGAATGGGAGATGCATGCTGAAAGTAGACTATAGACCGAACATGATTGTCACTCAATGCCTCTTTTGCAAACCACAGCACCCAAAAGAAGAGAGAAAACAAAAGGAAATGCCCTGCCACTGGGGTGGGGTGGGATGGGATTGGGGGGGAGAGATACTGAGATCAGTGGTGGTGGAGAATGGGCACTGGTGGAGGGATGGGTACTCGATCATTGTATAACTGAAACCCAAGCACAAAAATTTGTAAGTCTACAACTGTACCTCACGGTGTTTCACTAATAAAAATTTAAAAAAAAATAGAATCAAACCTGGTCAGCCTCATGCAAGGCAAGTACCTTATTTGCTGTGCTATCGCTCTAGCCCATGTTTTTACCAGAAAGTTACAGACTATAAAATCAGACAAACTAAGTCTCCACAGCTATCATTTACTATATGTGTCCTTCTGCAGACTATTACTATCACCTCAATTTGATTCCCCTTCCCTATCCTGGATATAATATCCATTTTATAAAGTTGTGAAAATATGACATAAAATCATGCCAGTGGAACAATAACTAATATGACCCTTGACTACTGAGAAGGAATTCAATTACTGATAGCTATAATTATTCCCACTTTACAACAAAAAATTAATTATTTTTGTTTTTTTGGAGGGTATGGAGAGCACAAATGCAGTCCCCGACTACCACAAATTATGCATCAAGCTTCCCACAGTTGAGGAAATTACATGGTCAGTACATCTGGATTGTAATGGATAAGTCTCGTCCTGGGAAAACCAGCTTTGTGATCATGGTATCTCCTCTACCAGGTAAGTATTCATTCTTTTTCTTGTTTTAGTTAATTTTATTCTGTTGCTTTAAGACCTTCTGCAATTAAATTGAGTTCATAACACCAGGTTTCAAAGCGGTAGGCCATGCGGATTTGAGCTACATTTGTTCTCCGGATATCGTTTCCAATAGGGCCTTCTTCAAGGTAATTATTGCCCAGAAACTTTGCTTTCTCCTGTAAGAGGAAAAGAAGCTGAGTGAGTACTGTTGTTATTTTCACCAGGATATAAATAATAATTGCTTCATCCACCGAGATTTCTTCTTGATGTTAGCTACTGGAAAAAAGGGAGAAAAACCAAGCATTGGGGCTGGAGAAATAGTATGACTGGAAAGACACTTGCCTTTCAAGCATGTGACCTGGATTCAGTCCCAAGCACCCCAGATGGTCCCCTGAGACCCACCCAGGAGTAATCCCTGAGCACAGAGTCAGGAGTTGACCCTGAGCACAGCCAGGTGTAACCGCAAAAAAAAATCATAAGCCAAAGCATTCCCTCGGTGCCCCAATGTGCAATATGTTGAGAAATCATGTATATATTTCCCCCTTGCCCAAAGGGGCCAGAGAGATTATGTCTTTCTAGTTCTTGCCTATAATAGCTGTATATGATCTGTGGAATGACTTTTCTCCATGTGCTTCCCCTTCTAACTTATCAATAGTCAAGTTCCCAACTGCGCTATTCAGAGGGGCAGCCCATCAAGGTCAGGTCTACCTCATGAGAAATTCCACATTGCAGAACACTGTTTCTTGCCACCTCACACATATCACAGGTGCTCAGCTTGAAGACTTGCGCAGCAATGGCATATTCCTCCAT